CAAGTTGTAACATCAGTTAATAGTTTTTCCAAATATTTGTTATCAATTTTTGGTTTTCTTGAGCGCCGAGCGCTTCGCTTCATTGTTTCCCAAGGTTTTGGTCCACAGTCACGGTCTTTCACACTTCACTCAATGTTTTCATCCCTCGCCTCCTTGACTAGCGCTTAAGTCGAAACGAACATGTCAAGAAAAACACAACCAGGCCATGAGGCCTATATTATCCTCCCTAATTCAACAACAACAACAACAACAACAATATTCATCCACCTGTTCCTGTGAAACTAGGCTCAATGGCCGCACGACCAGGCGTTTGTCTGATCGCGTTCGCAAACACCACCCGGCTCGGATGAGAAAAGGAACAATAAAGACAATTACAAGCTCGGTGTGTTCGTATCTCATTGAGTCAAACCACTCGGTGGATGTGGTAGGCGCGTCTCGACCGATTTACAAAAATCGATGTAGGCAACCAAGAACAGCGAAAGATTGTACCTTAATCATGAGATTAAAACACAATAAATATGAAGCGATGAAATCATCAAGCTTCTTTCTAAACCCATGTGATGTTTGCACAGTATCACGTTCGTTGAGAGCTGGACGACGAAGCGAAACTTTAGAAATACGTATACAATTCCGTCGCAGAATAGTCCAGTACTGTTTCGAGTAGTTTGATTTATCAACACAAAAATCCAGGAATTGAATACGAGTATTGACCAACACCAGTTTCGTACGGAACTTGAAATAAGAGTTTGGTTACTTTGGTACAATTGGGTCTTTGGCTTGTTTCAAATGTTTAAACAGTCCCACGGAGCTCGTATAGAAAACACAAATTGGCAAACAAGCTCGTTTCAATGCGTCTTAATCATACCATTACAACACAATAAATATAACCGGTAACAAAGAAGGAAACGCAGCTGTTCGTCAGGCTATTGTTGTCCTCAAACAATGCGATTTTCGAGTCAATGCTTCCACTTCAAAAAGCCACCAATTTAGGAACAGTACTCTGAAACGATCAAGCATGCAGTAACGCCAACGAGAATCCACATGGCTGCCTATGATGAACAAACAGGAGGAGGAGAATCAGGCCAGTGACGAAGAAACATTCTCGTGGTCATGCATGCCATATGTGGGCGGCACATAGAAAACGCACCAGCAACGGGACACTTCCAAACTGCGATCATCGTTCCTTACTTAAAGTCAAGTCCCAAACAGAAACGGCGTGTTTTGATCCGGTTTCAAAGTCATTCATTGGCAGTTCCGTGGATAAGTGCACAGTAAACCATCCATCCGACCACGTAACGAGTTGAAGAAAACCCCGGTCGGGACTCCCTATGCCGCTCATATTGTCCAACCGTAGCTGAGTCGAGATCGTTCCTACTGGCTATATATATTACACCAGTTCGCTGTTTCTCCACCGCTTTGGAAATCCCGGTGTGTGACTTCCGGTCAGAATGAATTGACTACTTGATGGCTGGGGTATG